CCAAGTGTGTAGACATCTAGCTTCATCTAAGACCTTGTTCCAGAACTTGGATCCAGGGGAGATGGTGGCGTTTCCAGGGTGGGCTGCCCCATACCTTTCACGGTGGCTCTGGTCTCGATGTGGCTCAGATCTGCAGCCACCCCAGGTGTATGTGCAATATCATAGAGGGTCAGGCGACTCACTAAGGGGCTGTTCTTCAGCAGGAGTGACAGGGGCTGCCCGATTCCTCCAGAAGCCCCGAGCACGGCTACTTTGGCATTATTCTGAAAAGAGGCAGAGAGAAATGACATTTAGGACAGAATCAGCACTAAAAAGGTTCTGCAAGATATGGCACTGGGCTTCTTTTATTAAAGTGATGCCAAAGCCAGACACAGTCATATTTCTACCAGTTTTATCCTGGTAGAATCCAAAGGCCTAGTTTCAAATGGGGAGAACTTATGTCTAGAGATGTTACAATAGCTCTCGGGCTCAAACTCCAAACACTATCCTGGGAAGATACAAAAAAAGCTGCTGTGATCAATCAGGCAGCAGGACAGATAACAACCTTACCTTCAATCTGCAGTTTAAAAAACTCTAAACAAACTGAGACCCTAGCAACAGACATGTGAGATGGCAAGAGTGAAGACCCTTGCCGGGTTGGGAGGGTAATCAAATAGAGGGAGGGGAAAGAGCCGGAAGAGAAGTACAGCTGCCAGCTCCAGGGGACCCCCATACCAGAATTCCCAGTCGTATCTTCATATCCCCCTATGTACTGTAAGTCACCTCTAAGTGACTTCTAATACCCAATACAATGTAAGTACTAGGAAAATAGTTGTTATATTGTACTGTTTAGGGAATGACAAAAAAAGTTTGTACATGTTCAGTACACACATAATACTTTCCCTTTTGAAATTTCATTCTGAGGGTGGGTGGATCTGTGAACAGGGAATCTGCAGATATGGAGGGCTGACCATACATTCTATAATAACCAATGCTAGGTAATGATAAGCTTTGGCTTTCAAAAACCAAAACCAACCAAAATTTGAATTCAAACAGGTTCTAGGATGTTTTCTGTGTGTGATGATGGGGATCAAACCCAGGGTCTCACACGTGCTGGGCACGTTCTCTACCACTGACCAAGCCCTCTCTCTTTTTTTTTTTTTTGAGATGGGTCTTACTATGTTGCCCAGGCTGGTCTCAAGCTCCTAAACTGAAGCAATCTTCCAGCCTCGGCGTCCCAAGTAGCTGCGATTACATGTGTGGGCTGCCACACTTGGCTAGCTCTCTTGCTTTTGAGTGTTGCCTCAGAGGTGGACCGCTGACTTCCCAGGTATCTTAACTAGCTGGACCAACCCAGACCTGAGGTCTGGCAATCTCACCCACTCTAGTCTTCTGTTATTACTCCCAAACCTTGCCTCCCATCTTAGGAATTCCCAGACTCCAGCCCTCCACTTCCAGTTCTGCTAGGCATTCCACTGGTCCCACATATCCAAATGTCCATCTATTCCCTCTACCCCTACCTCTCACCAAGTGCCATTTCTATTCAGCCAATACTAGCCTTCTAGAACCATCTTCTACTTCTTCCTTCTCCCACATCAGAGCCATCTGATTAGGATATGAAGGAGGTGGCATCTCAAACATCATCTCAAGCTGTTCTTCCTGTCCATCCCCATTCTGTCCTCTACTTAGGTATCTGGATCCACCTCCGGGTCATCCTGCCTAACACCCTAAGCCTCCTTCATTCACTCCCTTGCACAGAATCTACAGAATGTGCCATGTACTGGCCTGGCTTCCAAGGCTGATCAGAATAGCAGTTCCAAAGTGGGCAGCATAAGACAATCTCAAGAAGGGAAAAGGATGAAAAGATCAAAATCTGTGTTTTTATTTTTATCTAACGAAGAATTAAACTCTACTAAGTAACAGACTGACCTGGTGCTCTCACAAGGGTTCCTAAGTAAAGCAGTCCCACACAGTACATGAAGTGAGCATAACTGGGGTGGAGAAGGGAGGTAACTTTTTCAATTCTTTGCTTTCTCTGGGTTGAGGTGATGTTCTTGTTTGCTTAAGTTATCAACTTAGTTTATAGTGGCAAAAACATGCACTTTACTAGCAAGATCTCTACAATGCATTTAAACAAAAGGAAAACCTTTGAGATTACAATGGTTAGTTCCTGAAGTCTTTGTAAAAGAGCTGTCTTCCAAACCTGCTGACCTTTACTGGGCTGAGGAATGGAACACTGCTTAGCAACTGTTCTGAAAATGGATATACAGTAATTCCTCATCTACCTGGTCTGCTTTATAATGTAAATCTGTTATGGTTCGTTTCTAAATGTTTCTGTGTTTCTATTATGATGCATGTATTATTATTATTTTTTTTATTTTTGGTACTGGGGATTGAACTCAGGACCTTGCGCTTGCCAGGCAGGCGTTGGAACCACTGAGCTAAATCCCTGGCCCTACGATGCATGTATTAGTATATATGTGGAAGTAGATCTACCAGGATGGTGTGCTCCACACATTTTTATTGTTGAGGACACACAATCCAAAGCCTGGAGGCCAGTGCATTGTTGGCTCAAGTCTACTTTTCTGATTTATTCAGCTGTCTCTTCAACATCTCCACTTGGATACTCAACTGGTATCTTAAATTTAACACATCTAAAACTGAGCTCCAGAATCTTTACTCTGCCCAGACCTGCTCTTTCAGGAGCCTCTGCCCATCTTGGCAAATAGCAACTCAAGGCCCCAAACCTTGGTGTCATCCCTGACTCTGCACTTTCTCCTACTTTTAATCTAATATTTGTTAGATTAAAATATTAAAATATCTGTTAGATCTCTACAGTCAACAAATATCCAGAATGCAGTAACTTTTACCACCTCCACAGCTGTTACCCAGACAACAACTCTTAACCTGCCTTTCTCCTCCAAGACAATTTGATTAAATTGAGAATATGATGAAGTTATTACTTTGCTCAAAAAACTAACATGGAATACAAAAAACAAAACAAAACAAAACAACTCACATGGGTGCCCCATTTCTGGGAAAATGCTAGTTTTACAAGGCCTGTGGCATCATTCCTGCCACTGCCCTCTCTGGAGCTACAGGAGTCTCTTGGTGGTATTCTCAAACATTCCAGGTGTCCCCACAGCCCCTACCCTGGATGTCCCCTGCCTGGACCACTATATGACATGCTCTCTGCTTCCTTCGTGGCTTTACTCAAATGGCACATAAACCAACTGACCTAAAGCTGCAAATCTCTTCCCTGTCAACCCCTCCTCCCCTTACTTTCTTTGTCCTGTGCTCATCGCTGATACTTTATAACAAGGGAAATGAACAATAATAAAATACAAGGTAAATGTCAGAACAAGAATTTTGTGTTTTGTTCACTATTCTATTTCCAGTGCCTAACATCAACAAGTATGTTGACAGCTGCCTCGCAAGACCAAGGTCCGGAGTTCGATCCCCGGTACCAAAAAAACCCAACCAAACAAGTATGTTGAATACATGAAGGCTCTTATCAAAACATGATCCTTCTGGGCTGGAGTTGTAGCTAGCAATGTACGAGGCCCTGTGTTCAATCCCCAGCACCAAAAGCAAAACACGCAACCACTCCCCCTACCCACTTCATTCTTCCTTGTCTTCCCCTACTCCTCAGCATCAATCTTCACCAATTCCCCGTTCTAAGATAACTCATTTCTGGCCCATCTCTGTTCCCACTTCTCACTCATCTTAGTATTCCCTGCAGCACCCAGAACAACTGACAAGTATACAGTACTCGATACACTTAATTGTATCTTTCTTTTTCTTCTTCTTTTTTTTTGGTACCAGGGATTGAACTCCGGTCCTTGCGCTTGCGCAGCAGGCGGCGAAACCACTGAGCTAAATCCCCAGCCCTGTATCTTTATTTTTCTAATGAACTGATTGCACAGGAAAACGAAAGACATAACCTAAACATGAAACTTGGAATTTCTTTTAATCACCTCCCCTTTGGACGTGATATTTAATGCAGACATCTCCTGGGTTCTTAAACTTCTGCTCTATGGGAAGCACTTGCTGAAAATACATAGGCCCATGTCTTGTCTTCCTGAAACGAGTCTGGGCCTCTGTATTTTACTGGTTTCGGATGGTTCTGATATACACCGGGTTTGAGAACCATTTTCCTAGATGGCTAAAAATAGCTAAAGCTTAAATGGTCCCAGGCCAAGTCACGCGCCCTTAAAACATGTCAGGGAAGTCTCAGTCTGCTCACAGAGGGGCGGACCCTTCAAAAGATTCTTAAGAAACAGAATGTTCAAACTCTTAAAGGGTAGGTAGTCCACTGACAGAGGGCAGGAGGCTGAGTTTTAATCCTCTGGCCAGATGACTGTGTAACTTCGTCTCAGTCTGCCTGTACTATAGTTTCAATTACACATGATTTCTCCTGTTCGCCCACAATTCACGGTCAGTGCAAGAAGAGTGAGATTAGTTATGACAAAGCAAAGGGAAGCTGCATAAAGACCTAAGTTACTTCCAGACCTGGAAGTCCCGGCTTCTCAACCTTGAAGGGGTAGAGGGCAAGCGCAGACCTTCCTAAGGTCCTGGGGGTGAACTGAGAGGGCTCTGCTAAATACACTCTCTCCAAAGCTGGGCCACTTCGCTCCTTTCTCAGGCTTTTTCCTCCATACTGCCTGCCCCGTGTCAGGACTGACCTATTGCGCCACCGCCTCCAGCCAGTACCGGCGGCCGTGGAGTCCAGGCTGGCCAAGGGGTCAGGGATGCGCGCGAACCGGGGACGCACGCAGCCCGGACCCCTCACCGTGGAGCCTACCTGGGTCGAGGTGCTGAAGCTGCGGCGGAGAGCGGCGCAGGCGGGCCGGGCGAAGACGGACAGCATGGCTAGAGCGGGAAGGGCGCTGACCCGCAGGTGCAAGAGCTGGCTAACTGCAAGTGACTCGAACGACCTCCACACTGAGCAGGTCCGCCCGGCGGTGCACCGCTTGGTCTCGCGAGAGTAGCCCAGCTTCCTGTCCCGCGAGTACTGGGTCCCGCGAGATCGCGGTCACTTCCGGGCTGTGGGAGGTGGGTTGGGTCGAGCTTCGGTGTCTGCTGGTGGGGCGCCTTGGTCACAGTGGGAGGGGGCGTCCGCGCCCGAGAGATAGAAGAGGACTGGCTATAGGCTGGAAGCACCTTGGAGCCATTTTGCAGGTGGGGCTTAAGACAGACGAAGCCCTGACAGCGAGCTCAGCCGAGGTCGCGCAGCAGGTCAGGTGGAGTGGGTTCCGGACCTGAGCCCCCCGACCTCAGCCGAACCCACCTTCTGGCCCTGGAGCGAGGCGGGAGGGGACTCAGAACTCCACAAAGAGGGGTGGGGGAAGAGATACTGCGAGTCCTGGAGTGGGGTGCACATCACTTCTCTTCGGGCACCTGCCTGGGGCGTCCTCCCACAATTTCCGAAGTTCCTTACGTTACAGTTAACAAGACACTACTACCGGTGGTAGCGAGCACTAGCTAGCACTGATTTAGCGCCTGGCGCTGTTCAACGACCACAGTCCTCTGTTGGGGGGAGGGGGGGAGGACCTACAGAGACTCGCCCCATCGTCTAGCCCTTAGCCCCTCACCCAGCTGTGGTGCAAACACGGCCCCACTGTTTCTAGTTTCCAGTGAAGACACCGTGACTGAGCTTATGCGGATTTGCTCAGAGTCTACCTAAACAGAAGGTAGAGTTAGGATTCCTGCTTAAGAAGAGTTTATCATTTAGCTTCTTAAAATTATAAGTTTATCCCCCGCCCCCACTATTTTCTAGGTGTATGGAGATGCCCCAACACGATCATTTCCCTCAAAAAGTTTAGTCAGGTGGGGCAGACAGAAGTGCCACAAGTTGCTACGTGGATAGAGAAATGTAAAACCTAGCTGGGCCGGTGACTCATTCTGCCTGGGGACAATGGTTGAGGAAGCAGGAGTGAAATAATAGCATAGACTCTAAAGAACACACCAACACAAGGGAGTTCACTGTGGCTGCCTTACCGTTCCTCCCTCCCCTCTGCTTGTTTGGTGAGCTAAGAAGATGTCCCATTTCAGTCTTAGGCTTGAGTATTCACCTGTGAACAAGATCTACACATATTCTGCCTTCAGGGACCTCATAGTCTAGTAGGAGAGGCAAGTAAATTGCAAGAGTGATAAGGGATACAATTGGAGAATTTCTGCAGTACTGTGGGAACATAGGAGCTGCATGTAACACAGGATTGGAGTGGTGGCTGAATGAGAGGACCTCCCAGAAGACTAGCCATCTGAGTGGAGACATCCCAGAACAGTAGATGGGATCCAGTGGGAAGATTCAACTCCAGAGGAGGGCTAAATGCCTTGCCTCAAAGGGAAAGTGTCACATGGGTCTTTAACAACAGGAAGGGTACAGGCAGAGGGAAGGGAAAGAGGAGAAAAGAGCCCAAAGAAAAATCCAGAGGAAACTATAGGCCCATGTTTAGGTGACAGATCATTTCTGTTGACATGGCATAAGACAAATAATGTCCTCAGTCTTTTTTTTTGAGGTACTGGGGTTCAAACTCAGGACCTTGCACTTGCAAGGCAGGCGTAGTGCCACTGAGCTAAATCCCCAGCCTGGGTCCTCAGTCTGATCACTGTTCTCTGATAGTTGCTTACTCTTAATCTTGGCACTAGAACTGAGATCACTTTGGGGTCAGGAACTATGATTTTCATCTCTCTGTCTTTATTTATAAGGTGACTGGTCCTGGGATAGGCCTCAGTGAATTTTGGGAGAGTTCAGTGGTTGTTTTTTGTTTTTGTGTTTGTTTTTTACAGTAGGAAGAATTTATTGAGAGAAAGATAGCATCTGTCTAAGAGAGACAGAAGGATCCAGAAAGTGGTTTGTCCCAGTTCATTGGGTTTTGATGAGGTCAGAAAATCCAGATTGTTCAGAGCCACTGAATGTTAACTAAGAAGTTTCCGTTTTATTCTTTGGAAAGCAAGTGTCTATGAGAGGCTTTTATGAGGCTACAGGGACTATGTTTGAGGGAAATTAGACTGACCTCGAATGCTAAGGATTCCACAGGTAAAAAATGGGGAGGGGAGCAGGATGATTGTGTAGGAGGCTATCCTGTGAGATGGTAAAGATGGTGGTGGCCAGAGAAATGGAGAGGGTGGTGCTAGTGGGAAAAGGCCTCAAGGGTAGGACAGATGAGAGTGTACTCATGTAGGGTTGAGGAATGATTGAAAAGGATGTGGAGAATCAGGCTGAGAGGAGTACATTTATTCAGAAAGAGGGAGGTTGGGGGTTGTGTGGAAGGAGGGATGGCTAGAGAAAAAGCGTTCCATTTTAAGATGGGGATGAATTGGGAGTGTGGGTAGAAATATACATAGGCTGAGTGTGGTGGCAACCACACTCATTCCCAGCACTTGGGAGACTGAGCCAGGAAGATTACTTGAGCCTGGGCAATGTGGCAAGACCTTGTATCAGAAAACAAAAAGGAAATATTAGTGGGGAGATGGACAGATGGGGAGTTACTCCAAGAAGAAATGTGGGATTGAAACTGGTGAGAGTCTGGATGAAAGTCATTCCTGTAGAGTGGGAGAGTTGAGCCTGTGAAAGAGAAACTAGAATCAAATTTTCAGGCTTAGTCCCTTCTGCACCCCTGCCATATCAGCGTCTCCACTGAGGAGAGACTGAACTACCTTCCGAGTCTTCTACCCTGGCCATCAAAGACAACTGTTGCAAAACCTTCCCATTGAGCTCCTGTCTGCCTCACTGCAAACCCAAGATTACTATGCCATTGTAGCTGTTGTATCAAGCACTGACTCCTGGTGGGCACTGTGCTTGGTGCTTTTCATGCATAACTGGCATTAAACAGCAGGGTGGGGCTCAATCTAGCAGAATGCAACCGTATATCAGGGTTACATCTTCATCTCCAATCTTTCTTTAAATCTTTGCTTGCCTTGGATTACATGTAGTTACCAGGACAGACCTATTGAAATAGTCTAATGCCCTGCTCATGTTAAATAATAAAAACTGAACTTGCTGGGTGTGGTGGCACATGCCTGCAATCCCAGCATTCTGGGAGGCTGAGACAGGAGGATCACAAGTTTGACCCCAACCTAAGCAACTTAGCAAGGCCTTGTCTCAATTTTTACAAAGAGGTAGTGAATGTAGCTCAGTGTGAAGGCCCTGGCTTCAATCCCCAATACTGCAAAACACACACAAAATACCCAAACAAACAAATCTCTGAATTTAAAGCTCCCCCAAATTTCTACAGACTTCTCTACATGTAAAGAGAGAGAGCTTGACTTCTTATCGCTCCTCTTTGATCTTCCACCTTACCCTAGGTGGACTGTGTGACCCATCCAGTGTTGGTGGAGTGAGGTTGTAAGTAGAGATGGTGCAAGAAAGGTGCCTTTGTCATCTGGCCTTAGTTGATCCATCTGAGCTTGATGGATCTGTGGCTGACTCTGCCATGGAGTGGTTTTGTGGTCTTTTCTTACCTGCAGCTTGCTTGACCTAGGTGGTTATATCTAAGTCTTGCTTCCAGTGTTTCCCTGTGCCCTTGGTTTCTGGAATCCTCTACCACCTGACATGGATCCATTGTCCCTTTAGGTGGTCCTCTTGGGTTAAGTCCTTTTTTTTACCCTTTACTTTCTCCAGCTTATAGACGTGGTCACCTTTGGATCTAGTCTTAGACCTCAGATTCTCTGAATGGCCCTTTCTGCCTCCTGGGCTTGAGTTGTAAGGAAACTTCTGTTTCCTGAGCACCTGCTATCTGTCAGGCCCAGTGCTAGCAGTTTGTAGTTACCTCAATTGAATGTTTCTCTAGCTTTCCAACATGTAATCCCGCCTTAGTTTACACTGAGGGCATTATGGTTAAGCCTTGGCCATCCTGACACAGCCTGATTTCCCCCCAGAGACTGAGGACACTAGGGGGTTGGCTATGGAGCCTAACTCTTGCCCTGCTGGTTCTTGTTCAATTCCAGGAGCCCGAAGTAAAGCTTGTGGCCTGGCTTTTCCAGGGTCATCTAGTGATGCCTCATTTCCACCAGATGCAAATGCCTCAGTTGTGTCGTTGTGGATTGTCTGGGGTTGGGGTCCCTGGACAGTTGAGCATGGGGCCAAATGCTCAGTTTCCCAGAGCTCCTGTGAGAAGCCTGAGGTCAGGCCCAGCCTCAGTCAGTCTGAAAGGCAGGCCCTGGGTATGGTCAGAGCAGGGAGGGAGAGAAGAGCTCGATGTGGCTGGCTCCCCTTAGGCTCTGGCAACCTAACAGAGAATCTCTTCCCAATGGATTATTTGCCCCAAGTGTAAGGTGTGCTGTTGCTGGTCATGAGCTCACAGCCCAGTTGCTTCTGGACTGGGGTGGGCTGGAAGAGGGCTACCCCACAAGCCTCTGGTATGAAGGGCAGGTGGGTCATCCTATAGAGGGTGTCCAGTGTGCAGGGACAAGGCCCATGCTGACACTACTGTCTGGACAGTAAGAATGCCATAGCTTGTCATTCAGAAAGCTGTGCAGATTCCTCAGCGAGATCAGTTCATAGGAAGAGCCATGTTTCTCTCACCCCTATCAAACTTGATCCACAAAAGATGCCCCCTGCAACCATCTCCCCCTCCAGCCATCTCCGTGCAAGAACGATTGCACCAAAAGCTCTGGGAGTCTTAAGAAGAGCTGCACTCGCTGTGCTGAGACATCAGCACAAAGGGGGACATCTTAAATTTGCCATTCTGACTTCACTTTTTTTTTGGCTAGGTCACCAGAAAAATGAGATTTGATATTTTTTTCTGATAATACCAATGAAACTCACAGTGGCAGAGACTACACTCAGAAAATTTGATATGATAAAAACAGGAAGGAAGCAAAATTTTTTTGGGGGGGGTAAAATTAACATGAAGACTTGTGAAAATGGGAAAAATGATTTTGGTTCATCAAAATTTTAAAAAATGGGATTGGTTAATTGTGAAAAATGGATAATCAATGAAGTACTTAAACTTGCTAATGGAAACCACTAGGGTAAACAATTTTGGCAAAAGGTCACCCATATTAGTTTAATGTTTTGCATAAAAACAGCACCAGAGTTTTGTTTTGTTTTTTTTTTGGTACCGGGGATCAAACTCAGACCTTGCACTTTTGAGGCAGACAGGGGAACCACTGAGCTAAATCCCCAGCCCCCGCACCAGAGTACTCTTAAGGCCCAAATGGGGAAGCTGAGAACATTTAAATTTCTCAGAGTTTGGAGGAGTGGTAACAGGGATACTGACTAGAGCTTAGTTTTCAACCCACTGAGGCTGGCAATGCTGCTGAGCTCGGCTCATAGGGGCGCACCCTCTCTCAGAATCATGCTGTTGGGTTTGGGAACTGCCTTGTCCTCCAGCTTGGACCACAGGTGAAGGGTAGTTATTGCTTGACCAGAGAGTGGCCCTTCTAAGGAGAGGGGCCTGAAGGGGGTGATCCCCAGGGCTGGGTTTTTACCCAGATGTTCAGAGATAATCCCTTGGCTACTCCCTGAGGAAATGGAGTGAGGGAGAAAAGAGAGAGCTGAGGATGGACTTTGAGCCCTAGGCCAGATGGGTTAGGAGCTAGCTTTTAGGTTGGCTCAATGAGGATGTCCATCTTCTTGCCTTTATTCATCACCCCCAAAGTGGCCTGGGTACAGGGCTTTTAGAGGCAGAGGACCTGGGGCCTGACTTGGGGTAGAAGGGAGGAAAGAGGTTCTTCCCAGGAATCCACACATGGAAAACCAGGACTATGTGGCCCCACTGGCGAAGGTAGTAATGGCAGCTAACATTGTATTAGTTCTGCATGTTTTATTGAACACTGCTTTGCCGCAGTAAATCTTGGGCACTGGTGAGGATACAGCAGTGGACAGGACAGGCTTGCTGTTATGAACCATGCATCCTCATGGGAGGAGGCTGACAAGTAGACTGTGATTTCAGAAGTCTGCAAGTGACGACAAAGGCACTTGTTTAAAAAGATCACCCTGGGCCAGGGATTTAGCTCAGTGGTTCTGCCGCCTGCCCGGCAAATGCAAAGACCCAAGTTCGATCCCTGGTACCAAAAAAAAGGAAAAAAAAATGATCACCTTGGCTGCTGTGTAAAGATTACAGTATAGGGAGAAAGGAGGAGGCTAGAAGTCCCCTGGGGCAGTAATGCAACTTTAGGAGCAAGAGAGTAATATTTTGGACGAGGATGGAAGCTGTGGAGAGGGAGAGAAGTGGGTGGATTTGGAATCCATTGAGGAGGTAGAGCTTGTAGATAGGATGGAAGAGGGTGAGGGAAAGAGGAATCTGGCAATTGGGCTGCAGCAGTTGGGCAGCTAATGGTGCTTTGTTGAGAGCAAGAAGGCTAAAAGATGAACAGGCACTGGCGGTGTGGACCTTAAAAATTCTAGTTTTGCCGTGTTATATTTGAGATGCCTGTGAGGCACCCAAGTAGATCTGCAATGGGGAAGTCAAGATGGGATAAAATGTGTGAGTTGTTGGGATGTAAGTGGTATCCAAGGACTGGGTAAATCACAGACACTCGGGGTCTTAGAGTGGTGGTTTTCAACTGGAGACACTATTGCCCCCCTTCTTTTAGGGGGCACTTGGAAATGTCTGGGATACTTTCTGTTTTAGCTAGGAGGGGTTGCTACTGGCCTGTGCTGTGTGGAGGCCTGGGATGCTGGTAAACATATTACAATACTCTGGCCAGCCCCCCAACAACAAGTTACCTGACCCCAAATGTCGATGGCACTGGGGTTAAGGCCCCCTGTCCTAGAGTGAGAAAAGAAGGCCCTCCAGCAAAGAAGGCCAAAGAACAACTTGAGGAGGAGGAGGGAAGCTTGAGGGATGTGGAGTCCTGGGAGAGGAGCATGTTTGGAGCAGGAAGAGTGCTCACCCTCATCACATGCTTTGAAGAAGCCGAGTCATTTGAACACAGAGAGAGTGACTAATGGTGTAGGCAAGAGAGACACTTTTGCTGACCTGAAAGAGACCAGTTTCTATGGTTTGGTGGGACCAGAAGCTCCGGGGTAGAAGGTTGCTCTGATAGGCAACGCTTGCTGATCATTTCCTCCCTGCTCAGAATTCCTTTTTGGGAAACTTCATTAACCCCCATGCAGCAGGCAGGTATTTTTATGCTCATTTTACTGAAGGGACAATACTATTATCATTCCAGCTTTCCAGAGGTGGAAACGGAGGCACAGAGAGGCTAATTATTCCCCAAGCTCAGGCAGCTCGCATTAACTGGCAGAGCCAGGATTGAGACCTAAGAATTTGACACTACTGAAAGTGAGGGAAGGGAGGCAGGGAACAGACATCATGTATTCGAGAAACCTTGTGCCGGAGATTTAGCTCAGTGGTTCCAATGCCTGCCTCTCAAGTGCAAGGTCCTGAGTTCGATCCCTGGTAC